TGTCCATCCCTCGGTCTCCCTTAGTCAATACGATAAAAAACTACCGACTAAACCGTCTTTCAAAAAAAACGTTCACGCTCACTTTTTTACTTTATCCGAGCAGTAAGTGCTTTATGTTATTCTTAATATCGTGTATAATATAGTATATGTCATATATGTGTAAGTATATTTGTTATTCATATATATTTATTCGTATATATATGTAATTTTAGTATGTATGTATATCAATAATTAGTAGTACCGCATTCGAGTATTCTGACACTTCCCTATGGTTGAGTGGGAGAGAATGCTTTTAGCATTAAGTCCGCCATGTACACATATTTGTACTAATGAATAAATAAATAAATAAATACCCGCAGGAAAGAAAAGGCTGGCTAATAAATTCAGTTATTTATTTATTTATTCACTTTATGTTGCACAACTTAAAAAACAAATAAATATAAACAAATAAAAATAAAAATAAATATTTATACTCTGTTATGTCCATGGTACAGCTCATGTCTATAGACGACGGTTACCACTTTCCATCGAGTGGACCGTCAGCTTGTTTGCCATTCTAAGTTGCATAAAAAAATCTGAGACAGATAAATACTCTTTATTGTTTTTTTTAAATAAGCACTAAATTGTTTTAATGTGATCGTTAACTTTCGCCTTAAAGACGAAACGAAATTTCTTTCATAAAAATAATATAGAGTTACATTATTGGAATCATTCAAGGTACGGTATTGAGGCGTATCAAATTGAGTTCGTCTGAGCTTTTTAACTCCAATATTATTAGGCGACGTGTGTAAAGTTTGCTTGCGATAAATAATTTAATCTTTCCACACCGAGACGCGTGAGATGGAACATATCAATCTTATGCAACGAATCGTTTATACTCTTTATTCCGAAGTAGAGTTCCTTTTATAACATTTTGTTGGCCTGTAGTCGCTAAAACATTTATTGTTTTATTTTAATATGTATTATGTGGTTGGTGTTACGTAAATAGTTATGGACTTACATATTCTCATGAATACAGTTTAATAAAAATCAAAAATAAAATGAACTTCCAATTGCTGGATTAATTTCATATTTATGTCATGACAAATGTACTAACTTTTTTTTAGTTTTTTTTTTTTTAATAATATTGTGTTAATATCAATTGCGTTAATTTTGTATTCAGTGTGCGTGCTTTTTTTTTTGGTTTTGGTTATAGTTTTTTATTTATTTATTTATTGTTCAATGTATTGAATCTCCCATTCGAAAAATGAGTATTGGCGATCAGAACGCATGCTTACGTTAAAAAATTAATCGTCGTTAAAAAGTCAATCGTTAAAATCTAAATCTCACTGGAGGTGTGCATATATAGCAGCAGCTGAGGCGGCTCCTGTTACCAGTAAAATGAATTGTTTAATTTTTTATTATTTATTGTTGTTTTTTTTTTTAACTATTATTGTTGGTATTAAAGACTTTATCTATCTATCTAATTGTGAAATCGAATTAATACTATATATAATAAATAATAAACACTTGCCATGTTATTTATTATTATTACTTTTAATGTAAATGACATAAATAAATACAACATGGCGTCTGTTACTGCTGTATTCGAAAGTTATCTGTACGTATAACGTATCTTGTTTAAAACGTCATTGAATGTCACAGGTCATTTTAAGTGCACACCCCGCTCGCGTGGTTGTTCCACCGTGATGACCTCTCCGTTATTTGTAACATATTGGATTCCTATGAAGTTTGCCGACTTTATTAATATCGGCGAGAAGTTCCCTGAACGTAAAGAATATTTGTGTTTTATCAGACGCGGCCGACTCGCTCGTTACGATGAAACGGAGCTCTTTCAACTTTGATCTTTGATCGTGGCTTATTTTATCGTAATTTGTGAATCGTTTAAAGATTTTTCATTCAATTGGTGGATATTGTTACTTCTCGGTCACGGCTTTCGGTCGTTTGTCTGTACGGAATAAAGCCTAATTGATTGGCATTTTTCGAAGTTTTCGTTTTTCTCAAGAAATATCGAATAATACTCGTAAGTTTAAAAATAAAAAAAAATCTATATTTAACGGCCCTATTGTCCTGATATAGAATAGACCGCTCCTTCCTTTCCTCTTGACGTCGGAAGAGGCGATTAGGGGAGGGCGAGGGATGGGCAGCAGCGTCCCTCTTAAAACATCTCCAAAGCTTAACTGCGGTTCTCGATTTGCCTGCCAAGCGTGGCCATTACTGACAAAACCCCTCTAGGGGGAGGGTTACGTCCAGCAGTGGATAGATTTATTTATTTATTTATAAAAGACACACCAACAATATGCTCACAATAATTAAGCAGACAATATACAATGTTATTAGTAAGTAAAAGAGAAAATCTACTATTCAAAAATGCTTAAATTTAAGTTTGAACAAAAAAATCTTACTCCTCACTGATAAATAGATAAAAGTTACTATGACGATGATGAATATAATGAATTTTGATTACCAAAACTATGGTGTCACAGGAACTGCTAGTGTTATATGTACGTCATATTACCTTATGTGCCCGTTCGCACCATAAGAATCCCATAATGTAACATAAACACGTCATGATTTACAACCTCCAATAAACTTAAACAGATTTACAGATTGCCAAAAAGCTGATAAAAGCGGTTCCATGTATTTGTTTGGTTTACGACGCGAGCGCCCCTGGCGGCTTTGCGCCGTCAACATTTGATATGTGGCTTGCAATAAAATAGTTGCTAACGTCACACTTAGTGATTTATGTATCTTGACAAAAATGTATTATCGCAAGTTTAATTAGAATGAGAGAGTTGTTGTGCAAAATCGTACTTTTGTCTCACTCGTTTCTGCTACCAACATCTGTATTTGTATGATTATATTTCGATTTAAAAGCATAAGATATTGTAGTAAAATTATTTGCTACAGTAACGTTATGCTCTAATCTTGATTATATAGGTAGAGCATCGAGTCTCAAAAACGGGTCAACATTTGTCAAATTAGCTGAAACGTTTTTTGGCAGTGTTCTATATACATACGCACGTATATCTTGACGTATCTATATTCAATTATTTAATACAAAAAAATGAGTTTGTACGCACTAAAAACATGCAAAAATTATAAAGTTAAAATAAATATAGAAGTTATAAAGCAAATACTCATAACTATTTGTCACGCAAAATTGTATGAAAAATGTTGACCCGCTTTTTGACTCGAAGCATTTGAATGGAAACACTCTCTCTGTATAATTTAAGACTCTATCTAAGATACAAAAGAATCTGCAAACATAAATAAATATATACATAAAGTGCAATTTGATGGTGCACTATTATCGGTTGGTCAACGGCGGAATAGACAGTCCGGCAACTCTGTCGTTGTTCTTTGTACGCACCCCAACACTGCATGCGATTGCGTGCACGTCGATTACTATCGGCACCGTCTGTTCACACCTGTACTGCTCAGTTTGCTCCCACTTGTCTAGCTATTTCTCTGCTCAATTCTCTGATTGCTCAGCAGCTGGATATTAATATATTTAATGACAAAATAGATATATTTTTTAAATGTTGTTTAAAATTTTTAAATTTGTAATAAACATATGGCTCACTACACGTTTTGCGATACTGTAATTGTAGTGAGTAATTTATAAATAAATAAATAAAGAATCATATAAATTTGACACAAAGAAACCAATTACATGATGATTATTATAACGTAATCTTAAAACCTAATTCAATTCGTTAAATTAAGTTAAAAAACTACCTTTTGATCAGCTTCTGCTGATCTCCATTTTACAATTAGTATCATATATTTCTTTTTACACCAATCACTCGATTTAACAAATATATCCAACGAAACGGTATTAATAATAACTATAAATGTAATAAAAATTTAAAAAAACCTCTGACACAAACAAACTGATAAAAAGAGCTAACCCTCAGAGAACCTCAAGATAACCCTCAGACACCTGAACAGATTTTCATAAATTTTAGAAAAGATCCATCTCGATCTCGTCAGCTATTTAGTAAATAAAAATTCATTCGTTAATTCATAGACATACAAGATACAGACAAGTCAAACTTATAACACCTCTCTTGTTGCGTCGTAGGTTAAAAAAACGTCTATTGAACAACTTTGGAAAAAACCCTTTATAGAATTCTCACGACGTTCCCTACACTTTCCTAATTGAGTTGTTGGTCTGACTCCCTACCGAGTGAACTATATCGCTCTTTAGTTTCAGTGTACCTTTTTATGGGTGGTTAAATCTATTGTTTTATAGAAATAACATTTTCATTCGGAAAGATTTTAATTTTATGAACATTAATTTCTTCATAGTTAACGTCATGACGTTTACTATTAAACTACCAACATTTTCAGCTCCCAGTGGTTTTAAGTTCATATCTGACAACACCAAAAACTTAGTGTGTCATGTTAAATTTTCTATAGAGTCTGTAGCGAAGAAAACACCATTATCCAACCAAATTAATATAAAAAAATGCATGTATGCTTATCCACTGATTCGTTATATTGTAATATCAGTGAAACATAAATAAGTTCATTCCAATAGTATTATTTTGTTTACTTTAGATTTTTTTTTAGCATCGTCTTCCTATCCTTTCTCTATGTCATTTGTTGTTAACACAATGGATTTTTCTCGTCCATTCATCTTTACTTTTAGTCATTCCAGTAAACACTGGAATGACTACCCTTTTTGACCATAAATATTGATTTCTTTGCATAAAATATCTGAACCAAGTTATCTCCGAATTATCTTTCGACGAAATACCATTGATATTTCCAGAACGATGAAACTTACATCACTGAAATTCTGTATATAAGTTTGATTGATTTAAATATCCAAAAAGAAAGAGTTATCAAGGAATTTTACGAGAACTGGAGGATATACTAATATTGTTTGTGATCGTAATTCGATTAAAATAGCCCAACCACGATATCTTACAATATTCACTAATTATTATTTTCCAATGAATATTATTTATCACACATTGTTTTTGTTTCAGATTGTCTTCATCTCCAACTTTATCGGGAACCAAAAGACCGCTACAAAAAAGGACAGACGAAGGCCTCTCTTTCACTCCAACACTTCCTTGGTTTCGAATCTGGCTTCACTTTAGACAAAGAATCAAATACTATTGCCATTATCTGTCAAGATGTGACAGTAGTTTTAGCTTTTGAAACCAGAGAGAGGCTGATTGCCTGGCAGGTTAAAGTTGGGGGCCAGTTGGGATCCTCGAAGGAGTTTTTAGTAATGATCGGTAGTGGAGGATCGAGGAAGTTACCTGCTGGACCAGCACGACTACATCTACAAGGGAGAAGATTTGCATTGACGAGTGGAGTTCCACCACGTCTTTTAGGGTTATGGGAGCTGGCACACTTGAGGTACGTTTTATATAGGATACAATTAGTAATCATTAGATTTATTTAAAAGAAATAATAGAACCTACTAGTGAGACTGACGTTATTTTTTTCTATTTAATATGGTACATCTAGCTATAAAGTTAGCAAGAAAGCTCAAAATTTTTTGACTTTAGGAGAAATGTTCAATTTTCCTCACAGAACACTCGCTTAAAAGGATCCCAATGACTACGATTTCATACTGTATGTAAATTAACACCGTAGATGACAATTTTAACATTAAATATACTTATATTGTATTATATCAAATGTACGTTTACATTTGATGATAAATTCATTCAAATTTCCTACTAATTAACACGACTCGCTTCCTATAAAACATTTCTAATAATTATTATCCTTATGTGTTCTTAAATTTATTAAATAAAATTTGGTGTATATTTAATCCCAGATTAACTCAGAATTAACTATTTATTCTAATTCACACAACTAAGCCAAAGTAACTAGTGGTTAAATAATACGTTACTCTGAAATTATTCAATGTCATTTTTATTTCTTACGTTGAATGATTGATTAGAAAGGTTTAAAAACTTGAAGATCGTTTAAAATTCAACAGTCCAAAATTGTAAAGGTGAAAGGTAATATTAAAATGGATAATTCGCGGTGAATATGAAATGCAATCAGCTACCAGGGTCTTTGAGTAGAATAAAAACGTATATTCGCCGTTGTAAAACGGGATGCAGTGAACGACTATAAAGGCGAACAATAAAACCCGATCATTTCACGGGTCGTCCATAAACGTCCAATCTGTCTGTGGATGTTTTATATTTTGGTAGGTATTTGCAGCTATGAGAAAATTGGCGGAAATAATAGTTGAATAGCAATGAGTTATATTATAAAATGTATGAACTAGATGTGTATACGCGACATGTCTTGATATATTTATATATATAGATATAGATATATATATATATATATATATATATATATAGATATACATTCTAACTTATTAAATTTGAACTATTTCTACATTATTAGCTAGTGAGCCAAAATATTGCAAGTAATAGAGATTGTACATTTTCAAATTTAAAAAACTTAACATAGAACAGTATATGTTTTATTATAAGATTGCTCAAAATAATAACAAAATATATGTTCGTTTAAACTAAATCACACTCACAAGTGTACCTTAATAAGCAAGTAGTAAAATATATGCAAAGCATGCAGTAGTACAAGTTATGAAGTTTTTACAGTAATGCAAGTTGTAGCTTTTAACTGTAAATGAATTAGCTACATCGCAAATGTTTAAATGTGGTTTTCTCATGACGAGTGTTTAATTTGAAAATATGCTAAACATACTCGTAAAGCTAGTTGGTTCTACATTAGCAACAAATTTAAATTTAGTTAAATTTTCTGACATGTTTACCAGACTAGACTACATTTTTATATTGTTCACATATTCTATTTGTTCTACAGGCGCTATGGTGTAGTGGAAGGAAGATTTTGTTTTGAAGGTGGTTCCCACTGTGGTAAAGGGGAAGGCCTCCATATGCTTATTACCGACCAGGCTCAAGATATAACAGACTCGTTCGACATGGCTGCTCAAGGAAATTTTTCTTTACAACGCAATGCTACTTCTAGAAAAGGTACGGATTGAAAATTATTTTGAATTTATTATTATTCATATATTTTAAAAATTTATATGTATTTATTACATGAATTATTTATTTTTAGGTACTGAAAAAGTGAAATCACGTCCTAATACTCGGCTTTCTGACCTAAACACCATTGATCAATCAATACCTGATACATCAAGTGGTTTGTATGAAGAGAACTTCTTTGGAGAAGACTGTGGCGGTGTTTCACCATATTGGCCTTCTGACGAGAGACGAGGCTACGATGATAATGATATAGAAATTAATCCTAAACCATTATGGGGTGGTGCTGATCATGTAACTTTAGAACGGTGTACAAACTGTCTTACAAAGCTCGGTGCTATATCTCGTTCGTCAACTGTCGCTCTTACACCTGGAACCCATTTTAATCCTGCCTGGACTATGGAAGCGGTCCCTGAAAGTAGTTCAGACAATTCATCAAACAGTACAGAATATTTAACCCCAAAAGCTATCAAAAAAACATTAGAACCATGTCAGTGTAATGAAAAACCTCCACAAAGACCACCGAAGCCGTCACATTTGGACCACAAGAATCCTACAGCACCAGCACCATCACCATTGCGGAATTGTTCCTGTTCTAAAAGTGATAATGTTTATACAAATAACCCTAAAGTGGGCCCTTATGAAAATTATGATGTCCCTAAAACTACCCACACTGAAGTTAGTATAATATTATAAACATTTATTTATTTTATGATCAGTCTCGTACATAACAAATATATTAATATTGAGCGACTAAAATATATTTTATTATTTCAGGTGGACAAAGTCGAGTATTACGATACACCAAAAAGAATACAACAAGTTTTGGCTGATGATCTTTTTCAAGTTGCTAGCAATCCTAGTCCTGGCTCTTTAGTACTAAAGAAAAATTGTGGTTGTATTTTAAAAATTGGTTCAAGAAAAAAACCCGTAGTAGTAGAATGCGATGAAAATATTCAACCTGTGGAGTGTCCATGTCAAAAAGTAACGAACTGGGCAAACAATTTAATAAGTCTTCCTTATTGTAAAAGAAATACTAACAGTGTAATAAATACAGAAATATTAAACAGTCAAAAGTCTGATGAGATGGCATTATACGCCACTGTAGACGTTTCCCGGAAAACTAATAGACAAAGTGGCTCAATTGTAGAACAAGATCATAAACATTCTAATGTTGAAGAAAACTACACAAATTATCAAAACATAGAACCTAAAGAAGAAAAGGAATTTGAAGGTTCATATGCGAATTATGAAAATCTTGAATTTGCCTTGTCGCTAGAGTATTATGAAAACGCAAAAGATTTACTGAAGAAAGCTGGAGTGACGCAGACGGAATTAGATGCACTGAGTGCAAATATAGATATTGCCACAAACGTTATGCCTAAAAAGTCACGGCTTTGTTCTAAATGTGGCCATTCACAAACAGGTTTACATAAAACACAAGAGGGCCTTAAAACTAAAACGGATGAATATTTGCTCATGGAACCATCGTCAGATATAAAACGTGATAACTGTAACCGAGTTCTTGGACTTAATCCAGGATATACACCAATGTTACCAAATCCTAATTGGTCACAAAGTTTAAAACATCCTTTACACAAAATTAATCGCGTTGAAATAGAAAAATCTTTAAGTATACCCACATTAAATGGCAGTTGCAGTAGATCGAGTAATCAAAGTATGGTAGGTAATAATAATAAAGAAGCTATGCAAAAACGATCGAGTTCAGTAGATTCAGCCAGGCTTCTAGAAGATTTGAAAGAACTGGACAGTAGTATTGGCAGCCACGCGACTTCTTCGTCATTAGAAACACTGAGAAATTTGGCAGTTGAAAATAGAAGATCATCATCTCCTTGCGATAATGATCGGGAATGTTATGAATGTTGCAAATCATCTGGTTCGGAAAATAAAACTTCAGAAGAAGGTAGTACAAAAGAAATACCACATTTGAGAAATAAGCTTATGGACAATGCACAAATAAAAAGGTCATCTAGCGTTCCCTGCAAATCGGGTGGCAACAGAGATTCTTCGAGTTCAAACGACTCAGGAGTTTCTAGTTGTTCTTTAAAACATGGTGGAGGGGAATTTAACGAATTTGAAATGCCTTTAACTTCTGGTCAATCCAGATATCATTATATGATGCATAAAAGAATGAGAGGTAGTTTATCAGGATGTGTTCATTCGTCTTTACCACGAAAGTCAAAGTCATCAGATCCATTGAGGGACATGTCCATGCAGCTACACAAAACAAATGTACCAGCCAAATCCTCATCTGCTGAAGCTGAAGTTCCTGTACTGCCACCAAAACAATTAAAAGGTAAGTATAGTACACAATTCAGTCTTTGATATTAGTCTTACCAACCAATTATCAACCTGTTTCAAAACTTACTCAAATCGGTTGTTTTTTATGTTTGTTGCATCATAACGCTGTCGGTCATAAATTGACTTCTAAAATTACTTTTCATCTAAATGGAACTGAAATGAACTTTCAGATAAATTCCTTGGAAATTTTATCAAAATCAGTTCAATAGTTTAGTTTTTAAACTAAAATGTAAGGTTTTGCCTGAATTGATGTACTTTTTTATTTTGTTGAATAAAAACTTAAATTCTTCACTCAAGAAAATTCTGAAAATCAAATCGTCTTATTCAAATAGACTTGTTTACAAGCACTTTTACATCGTCCGTTTTTTAAATCTACTGCAGGATTCGGAAAGTTGTTATCTGGTGATAAGAGCCCGCAAGAAACTCAACAGTTATTCTTTTAAATCTCTGTTAACATTGTGTGTATTTATTTAAATGTACTATGTGTAAAATTATATGATCATTAAAAAGCCCGCGCATAATCGGAGATTCAAGATTGTTACTTGTAATATATTTAATGGTATATATCTTCTTCATTATTGTTCTTATATTTTATTTGCTTATTATTAATAATAACTATATGTGTGCTTGCAGGCGTAGTGGATACACACAGTACATCGAGTGGAACGTCCGATATGTCGGACTATATAGAAACACTGTCTATGACGTCGTCCCACTCCTCGTCTGATACTCCCACTGGCATAAGGTATGACCATAGATCTATTTTTATTTTTTTTTTATAATTTTCTTTTAATTTTACATGAATACATTTATGAATGAATACATAGACACCGACTGTGTTTTAATTTTATTAGGCAAATACAAAAAAATCTATATTTTTAACAGTAATATTTCTAATAGTATAATTATACAAAAATGTGAAGATATTTTAATATTTATTACTCAATTAAAAATCTATAATAATCAGATAGAATTAAATTCAGTACATAGACTATATTGAAGAACCTGCAACCTTCCTGCTAGTTGCAGTTTAAAATAATTTCATCAAAGACAAGAATATAACACAGAAGAACGTCGTTAATTTTCTCGTACAAATATATAAAATATTAAATTATATAAAATATATAAATTATTATATATATAAAATGAGATATCTATAATAAATGCATCTTATAGACAACATAGTATAACGTAACTGAAAGGATATTTTAATGGAAGAACAACCTGATTAATTTACGTGTAGGATAAGTGAGGTACTAGTCGAGAAAGCTCGACTAGTTTCCTGACTACAGTCTGAATGCACGCATTGGCATTGCGGGCCATGGCGCGCAGTAAGACACGTACTTGCATCACAGCCGTTCATAATTATGTAGGTTCTCGAATGGTCCCAAAACTAGTCGAGCTTTCTGGACTACAATACATGTAAGTTAATCCGGTTGTTCTTATATTATATTGTGTATTTAGAAAACCTTAAAAATATATTTCAAAAATGATTTCAGACTGAGTCGTCAACCCACTAGTACACTGCGGCCACGGTCAGGCAAGGAATATCACAATCTGGACCCAATCCTGACCTCTATGTATAAGAGTGGAAAAGAACTGGCTAATTACACAAACTTACCTTAATTTTAAGATTGTTAATTTCATTAAGAGTTTTTAGATTTGTATCAAAGAGTTCTCATGTATACCTAAGTACAGTTTATTGACTCGAGTTACTTCAGATTCCGTTTTTCATTTTTTTAGCAAACATAAAAAGGATAATTAAAAACTGAGCAAAAATAATGAGGGGAAAAAGATTGTCATTTTGAGTACATGATACAAAATTGTATTCAGTTATGTATTGTAAATTAATTATATATCTAGTTTTAGTTATTATAACTGAAATAAGAAACGTCTGAATGAAATATGATTAGCATATATTAAGTTATGTAGAGAGACTATGTACCTAATGGGAATGGGATAAAATGTGATTATAATTAGAGATAAGTACACTAAAGTTAAAAAAAAAAACAAGTAAGTTTTTTACTTTATTAATGAAATAAATTAATTTGTATATGTTTAATTTATTACCAATTATTTAACAGTGACATGTTGATAATTTACTGATTTTTGTAATTTTTTTTATGTAGATTAATTATAACAAGAAGGTTTTTTCCCTCATGAAAGTCTAAAGTCATCCCAACTCTTGTTTAATGTAAGAATGACAAAAATAAATTAATTTCCAATTTTTAAATCAACAACAATGGAATCTTAATAGAAACGCCATCGCACCGTCAATAGAAAGAGAATAGATTGCATTAATTATAATTGAGTACGTAATCTTTTTAAAGGTAAAAAGATCAAACAATTACTGGCATTAAAGAAAAGATAATGATACCTACTCGTAATTTTAAAGATCATTTAAGAATTTAAACATTACTATTTTAAATCACTTAATATATTATATATTTGAAATTGCATTATACTGAGCGCCCAGATAAAAGTTCTCAATTCAGAAGAAAATAATAACATTTTTTTATGCAACTTAAAATGACAAACAAATTGACGGTCCACCTGATGGAAAGTGGTAACCGTCGCCTATAGACATGAGCAGTACCATGGGTATAACAGAGAATACTGTTTCTCGCATGATACCCCCATGCGTTGCCATTCCTGAGGACTCAGGTGTTATTGCTCTATACCCTGTAAATTCACTGCTATATCCCACCCTTTAAACCGAAACACAGTCATGCAAACACAACTGTTTCACGGTAGAAACACGAATGGTATAGAGCTCAAGCAACCGACTTTTGTACAAAGTCTCCCTCTGGTTATTACATGTAGCCTAAATATACATATACGATTTTTAAATGAAAATATATATTTTTTCTCAAACATGCTTGGTAATGTGAGCATTATTTTGACAATCTTCTTCGAGATAAATCAAAATTGCCGTACTGGCTAGATACATGCGTGCAGCGGCCGGCAAAAGTTGTATGAAAATCCATATCGGTCGTGTTTTGCGGCCAGATAAATTACTATGTAAGCTCATATCTGTCCTGTAATTTAAAAATGGAATGACCTTTTACTTCGAAACATGGCTACCAAGGAGGTAACTAATAAAAGGTTTTGTTTAAATTTCGAACTGGCTTGCAAATAGAAAGCTGTTTATTGAAAAAAAAAAACCAAAGGAACATTAAGGCGTGTGAAAAAATATTATTGTTCGTTATTCGTCATTGAACTTAAAAAGTAAGAAGTGTTTTTGATTTCCTCGCATTGTTTGAGAAAAGTACTATACCAGCCTTGGCCACAACTAGGCATTGATGGACCCACGTATGTATGCCTCGGTTGCGCTTCGGCTCACATTTGCACGTTTGTCCATCAATGCCTCAGTTGCTGGCCGCTGCAGTAATGTACTATATTTTATAAGATCAGCAACATCATTGGTCGTATGGTATTATTGAGGTATTATTATTATTGAAAGACAGGCTTTTTCAGGCAGTAGTGATGTATAGTTCATACTATTATAAAGTTATGTTAATTTAATAATTAATATATATATATATATATATATATATAACAATTTCCTTCCAGACTACAAGACTACATATTATTATGTTATAACAAAAATGTATATAATTTTCTTATTTAACAGTGCCAGTTATATGGTTACCTCATTTTTTATAAGTATTTATAATTTCTGTTTGTATTACAGAAAGACTGAATTTGTAATTTGTTTTCTTTTTATTTATTTAGTGGTAATATTCTAGTCATTATTCTAGTGTTACGTATTTTGTACCATAGTCGAATAGGATTAAAGTAGCAATTAAGTTGACGATGTAAAATTGTACAAACTATTATAATGGACAACGATCACTAATCAGTAATCAATAGGGTTGTAAAAACACGATTTTATACGAACTTTTAATAATCAATAATCACTATCACAGTTGTATAAATAATGTAGTAATCTAACTTGCAGCAATAAGTGAAGAGTTCCCAGGGAATGTGACGGTAGTTTTGTGTAGGTTGTATAAATATGTGATCTCTTTTTTTATTTTTATGTTTCGCGTGACTGTATCTCCTCTTTAGATATATGGCAAACGAATTCAATCGATAAAAATGAAGATGTCATCGTGCGCGTGAGATAGAACGAGATAGCAACATCTGTTGTTGTTTTATTTTTTCCTTATGTGTGAAGCTACGCAAACGTATCTACAGGTAAATTCTTTTGTAAATTCAATTCGGTAATATAGAAGTATGGCAACGTTTGCGTTGTACGTCCATTGTGAAATATAATTTTGAAAAATAGTACTTCTGGTTGATTATACAAAATGTGGAGTTAAATTGCCTTTTAAAACATTTATCTTTCTTTCCTCATATGAATATGGCGTCCTATGGTAGCAAGAGTTTGTTGGCTACTTCGCTGTACACGAAAGCCTAACATTTTTGTTTTTTATGAGTGTACTTTATAAAATATCATGGAGAAATAATAATGTCAAATTATTTAATTTGGTCGAATTTTGACAGTTAAAATGTTTTGCAGTAGTTATAAACGCTTTTAATATTTCGTTATTCTCCTGTAACCAATGTTATATTTTTAATGATTTTATACAAATAATCTCTTTATTTAAAAAAATACTGAATTATACTATCCTGGATGTAAAATAAAAGCCTTCGCAAATGATGGACAAATCATCCATAGATACCGTTAGTGTAAGTCATGTGCTTAAAAAACACATGTTTCTAAGTTTTTATCAAGACTGGACTAGAATAGACCAGAGCTTTTTCCTTGATTTAAGACCTTGAGGTCTTTCCAGACAAACAGAGTTTGTTTTGACAGAAAGAAGTCCCTCATCTGCGTAGGCCGTAATATATTTTACATTGGTCAGACGAAAAAGAATATCCAGGCGCGGGATATTGTGCAATACGTAAGTGGTAACTCGGTGAGGAAACCTGGGGACTTAAAAACCCGCTTTATGCGAATCATGATACTATTTATTTCGTATAAATTCGCCGATAAAGATGTACTGTTTCTTGTTTTCCAACTGGTAGAAGCACAAGGACAGTCTATTCCTTGTTCTCCTACCGTTAGAAGCACGAGAACATATTATGCCTTATTCTTCTACTTACAGAAGCACAAGGGTTTGCTATTCCTCTTACTTCTACTGGTAAAAGTACGAGAATGTTCTATGCCTTATTCTTCTACTTATAGAAGCATGAGGTCATACTATTCCTAGTTCACCTATTTGTAGAAGCACGTGGGCATGTTTCTCGTTTTCCTATCGCTGCGCCCTCAGCTCTATGTTTTTTTTCTATTTATACAACTTAGAATGACAGACAAGCTGACGGCCCACCTGATGGAAAGTGGTAACCGTCGCCTATAGACATGAGCAGTACCATGGACATAACAGAGTATACTGTTTCGCCCATGATACCCCCCATGCGTTGCCATTCCTGAGGACTCAGGTATTATTGCTCTATACCCAGTAAATTTACGCCACATCCCACCCTTCAAACCGAAACACAGCCATGCAAACACAACTGCTTCACGGTTGAAACACGAATAGGACAGAGGTGCTCAAGCAATCGACTTTTGTACAAAGTCTCCCTCTGGTAAAATATCTATTCATTTCGGCGGCTTATACAAAATAAATTGTATTACAATCCACGATAGTAGCTTTTTAATTCCCCTGGTGTATATGTGAAATTATAACCCTAGTAAATTATAAACATATGCTTCTATGCCATCACCATTTATCAATCTTTCATATTTGTTTTATTTCTTTTTTTGTTATTAAAGTTAACACTTGTTTAATTTAATATTTGTTAATATTGTCCAATGCTAGTCTTTATGTGATATATTATTATGTACTAACAAGTATCCTCTCTACCAATCTTATCGAGTGGCGACAGGTATGATGTAATTCAATAAATGAATCTATTGTCTAGTACTCTCGCTAGTGTATACCCGGTACTAATTGTATCATCCTCAAATATAACTATGTATACTTACATTACTTAAATATACAATAAACTTATAGTACTTTGTATACTTGGCTTTCATTGTGACCTCAAATAATCAGTCAATCAATCATTTATTTTCATAAACAGGTATTTTTTTTTACCTAATAAATATTATTATTATTATTAGGTATAGTTATAAGTTAGCGTATAATAAAACTGTAGAGGACGAATGTTCGTACATAGAAAAAAAAATTGCTAAAAACTAAGCCAGGGGGATGTTAAAAGCGAAATAGAATACATTTAGATTTTTTTTCAAATTTCTTCTCTGTCTATTTATCTGTTAGTACGGGCTAATCTCCGAAACTGTTGGACCGATTTAAATGAAATTTTGCATGGTGATACCTTACATTCCCGGTCAATATTTTAGTAACTTTTAATCACGGAAAATTAAAGAGTTCCCGTGGGATAGTTAAAAAATTATAGTAACTTACACACCTAAAGCAGGGAGTAAGATGGACACGCCATTTGTTAATTTTGGTCCAGTATTCCCGGACGTAATAAATAGGTAGGTACTTACATCGATAAACACTAAACAGAAATAACAAATACCATGCGGACAAAGTCGCGGGCAACAGCTAGTTTTGCAATAAATATTTTGTACTTTCAACGCTTACTCTACACAGAAGTGAACCAAAATAATCCGAAATTGACTTAAAAGTAGAAAAGAGTCGAGAGCTTTATTCGTGTTTGTCGCTCTCAAAGTATACGTAGCATTGAGATATCGCCTCGGAGCAGTTGAATATGCACGGTGCATCCTTGCATACATTAGCTGATATCTGCCGTCGCGCTAGGGTCGCCAGCGAGGCTAACGACTGCACGTGTCTCATTCTATTCTGACATTGTTATTGCATTATTGAAATGCAATTCTAAGTGCAATTGGATTAAGGATTAACTAACATTAGAGGCTATTTCATTTGATTGCAATAACAGGAGCTAAACTTTCTTTTTTAACTATTTTCTATACTAATATAATCTTTGAAACTACTAGTTAAATTTGAGAAAATATTTTTTACTTTTGATAGTTCATTTTTTGAGAAAAGCTATTTATTATTACGATACGAGCGCTGACCAAGCTGCTAGAAATAGCAAAATTTCATATAACACCAAAAATTATAGATACTCTGTAAAATCAAAGTTGCCCAACTGGTACGTAGTAGTTTAAAAGACTAAAGTTTATTAAATTCCTAGTTACGAGTAGATATTACGCAAGCATATAAGCAATGAAAAGTTTAATTTACAAACAAGTTATAGTTCACGCTTCATATAGCTCATTTACAATTATTTCAGCCGTCAACTGTCCACTGCTGGACATAAGCTTTCACCATAAGGGGAAGTTTTGTCAACAGTTGCCACGCTTGGCAGGCGGGTTGGCATCCGCAGTTAGGCTTTTAGAGATATTTTAAGAAGGACACTGCTGCCCATCCCTAGCCCTCCCTTAATCGATTCTTACGACACCCAGGGGAAAGAAAGGGGTGGCACATTCTATGCCGGGACCACACGGCGTAAATACCTCTTAACTCTTTCCTATCTGACGGTACAAATTTGTATCGGGTGATTCCCCGTCCATTATTTCGATAATACGATCGCGCATTCCATATTTGACATTAAGGATCCTTTCAAGTACTATTACGCTAGCCAATCACAGTGATTTATTTCAATTTTGCCTATTTACCGCTAGCAAGTGACACTTTCAAGTTTCGACCTGTTTCGGATTTGAGAACTGCAGATTGCTTTTGTTTTAGAAAATATTTAAAAATAGAATAAACGAGGTAAGTCTTATTATTTTATATTAATATATTACATTGTAGTTTTAACTATAAAATTAATATTGTTTTAGTTATAAATTTAAATTTTAGAGCTAAACTAACGATAAAAATGTACCAGGACTTATGAGTACCGTCAGTGACTATGATTTGTTTTTTGTAAATTAGATCGAATATATTATAATATATGTTTATCTTATATTACAGATTTTTATAATGAATATTTCAAAGAATACAGCTTTGATAGAAGATCTTTTTATGGAAGATCTTCCAGACTGTGCCGACACTTCAGATGTGGAATTTTCTGACGAAGAAACCATTCGCGAAGAACGACTACCCTCAACTAGCAATTTTGATGAAAATTCTGAGGCAGCATTAGAAGAATATATGCTGAGCCAAACTAAACCTACTACAGGATATGAGACAGAAGATCCTAGTAGGGAAATAGACCAAGAGCTAATTGTATATTCTATTCCTAACACTATTCCAGATAATTTACCGGCTCAGGAAACTGTTACGTCAACACATGCACAATCCAAAAAAACAAAACATGAGCCTAATCGTAAATGAAAGAAACGTGATGTAGAAACGTATTTACCAGAATATTCTGCAAACACGGGGGTCGTTGACGAATATTTTGCTGAATGCACTACGCCGACTGACATTTTTTTAGTCCTGATTAGTGATGTACTGGATAATATTGTGTATCAAAGTAATTTATATGCAACACAAAGAAATAAATTTCTCAACTTGAATAAAGAAGAACTACTGGCTTTTATCGGAATGAACTTCTATATGGGGTACAACACTCGGCCTTCATGGACAGACCATTATTCATCGGCACCTGATTTGAATAACCCCTTGATTTGTAAAACTATGCCTAGAGATAGGTTTGCAGCAATTTTGAGCCATCTTCATTGCAATGACAACACGCAAATGCCTTCCAATTGCAAAGATAAATTATATAAAATCAGACCTTTCATTGATGCACTGAATAAAAAATTTCAAGAATGTTATTATGGAACTAGAGAATTGAGCGTAGACGAGTCTATGATCAAATTTAAAGGTAGGTCTGTATTGAAACAATATCTCCCTGCGAAACCGATAAAAAGAGGGTATAAACTATGGTGCCTCGCTGACCAACGCGGTTTTATTAAAAACTTTATAATTTATCAAGGAAAAAATGACGAAATAGCTGTAAAATTTGCAGATTATTCACTGGGAGAAAAAGTTGTTCTACAGTTAACCGAAAAAGAATGGGGTAAACAGAAAGTTATTTATTATGATAATTTTTTTACATCTATTGCTTTATTAGAAAAATTGAAAACAGAAGGAACTTATGCCTGTGGAACTAGGTCTAACCGTAAAGGTATTCCCAATAATCTGGTAGCTGACTCTAAACTGAAGCATGGCCAATATGATTACAGATTTTCTAATATGAATATTGCATATTATAAATGGAAGGACAACAAAATTGTACATTTGGCTTCTAATTTTCATGGCAATGATGAAGCTACAGTATCGCGCAAAGAAAAAAATGGGTCTAAATCTACAATCACCTGTCCAAAGGCCATCAAAGACTACAACTCTTACATGGGGGGTGTTGATACAGCAGACAGATTGAGAGCACTATACTGCGCGGACAGGAAGTTCCCAAAATGGTGGCACAGGTTGTTTTGGGGTATTCTAGACATTACATTTGTAAATGCATATATTATTCATGGACTCATAATGGAAAAGACACCTGTAAAAGAATTTAGGAGATCCATTGCGCAAGGGTTGATGTCTATGAAGGACATCAAAGATAACAAGAAGAAAAGATTATCAAAAGACCCTGTGCTTAGTCCTGGGCCATCTAAAAGGCGCAAAACTGGCTTCTCAACGTTGAAAGACGTTCGATTAGGAAACCGCGGTGTACATTGGCCTACGTTTGTGCCAAATAGAGGGCGATGTGAAGTATGCAGCATGAAGAAAGTGCAGTCAAAACCTCACTCAAAATGTTCTCACTGCAATACATTTTTGTGCATAAATGAAAAAAAGAATTGTTTTACAGAATATCACTATGTTAATGTATAATTGCTTTTTAATTTTATTATTAATTCGAGCCAAAAATAAATATCTAATGTTTCTATTTTATCAGTCCTTTTTTTACCTAAAGTTTCTGATGGTACTTATAAGTCTAGGTTACGAAAATAGTATCTAGATATAATAAATAAATCTGAAAAAAATTTACTAGTTTTCTTTACTACCCCTTATTCATACAGAATCACAAAAACATTGTTTTTCATTATTTTTGGTATATTCGCTAGGAAAGGGTTAAAGTAACCCTGCCTGCCAAGCGTAGCAACTACTGGCAAAACCTCTCAAGGGGAAGGCAGTAGACAGTTGACGGTCGATGTGATGATATATCTTTTTTTTGATACAACTTAGAATGGCAAACAAGCTGACGGCCCACCTAATGGAAAGTGGTAATCGTCGCCTATAGACATGAGCAGTACCATGGACATAACAGAGTATACTGTTTCGCCCATGATACCCCCCATGCGTTGCCATTCCTGAGGACTCAGGCGTTATTCTGTTTAGGTATATTTAGTATCAGCATTGCACCCGTGCGAAGCCGGGCAGGGTCGCTAGTAATTCAATAATATTGATGTGCCAACCCTATTTGCTAACGATCCACCGACTCGGAGTATCCACACATCGTTCTAACTTAGATAAAGTCATTGGTATTCTAACAAGGCACCGTATGGAGTAACATTAAAGCGGTTTGATGCGATTCCGTTCCGTTTACGACAATAAACTAGTAGTAGAGATTTTCTTACAGCGAAGGCGTTAATCAAGTGCGCGCCCTGTCTAATTGTAAGTGATCACGTGACTCAGTACTATTTTTTTTTATACAACTTAGAATGGCAAACAAGCTGACGGCCCACCTAATGGAAAGTGATAACCGTCGTCTATAGACATGAGCAGTACTATGCACATAACAGAGTATACTGTTTCGCCCATGTTACCCCCCATGCGTTGCCATTCCTGAGGACTCAGGTGTTATTCCTCTGTACCCAGTAAATTCACGCCATATCCCACCCTTCATACTGAAACACAGCCATGCAAACACAACTGCTTCACGGTAGAAACACGAATGGGACAGAGGTACCCAAGCAATCGACTTTTGTACAAAGTCTCTCTCTGGTATACTACAATTTAAGTATTGTAATTTCATTATATTTGTCTGCTTGCACAGTTGTTTGTTTGTTGCAGTATCCAGTAGAGTCCTCAGGAATGGTAACGCATGGGGGGTATCATGGGCGAAACAGTATACTCTGTTATGTCCATGGTACTGCTCATGTCTATAGGTGACGGTTACCACTTTCCATCAGGTGGGTCGTCAGCTTGTTTGCCATTATAAGTTGTATAAAAAAAAAAGTATTCTACATAAAAATCGACTTTCACCCTTTGAGTGCCGACGAGCGCCATCGCGCTCGTGCGCATTGCAACTAAAAGTGCCACGAGCGTCATAGCGCTCGTGAAATCAGTCGCTGTTTAGCTTGCTGTAAAAAATATATTAAAATTGCATAATTTTTGGAGGAGATACAGTTGTTTTAGAGACAAGGGTAAATGACATCAACACGACAAAGATTTCTATGGCATTTTTAAGCAGATATGAGTAAAAATCGATGGCACTAAAAATTAATTGGCACTAAAGGTTAATTGTCAAACTAGTTATTTTGATTTAAAAACTAAATTTTTGAATCGATTTTAATAAAATTTCTATAAAAACTAATGAGTAAGTATATAATTTTAAATAATAAAATAATTTTTCAAATCTATTCACAACTAACTGAGTTATGAGGTAACAAATAGAACTTCTTCTTTTTGAAGTCGGTTTAAAAATAATTGCTTTTCACTTTAAAACTCTAAATTGAGATTGGAGAGGGTAGCTTATAAACTCCGTGTCTATTTAACAAACAATGAAAAGAACTCCGTTAAATTTTTCATCTTTGTAAGTAAATTATTTTGTTTTATTCTAGTATTTTTTTTTTGTATATGATAATGGAATGGTAACTCCGCCTGCGCTAACGGTATACGCTGGCAGGGCCCCAGTGAGGGATGATAGGTGAGGACGAAAAGGCAGGTCAGTTAGCCCATCGTGATGAATACACCTGGAATTCAGCACGATAGTTTCCAGGGGAGACCACGTGGAGGTCGACCTGATAAGGAATATTGCTAGCAATGGGACTGATAGTCCGCATTACTAACAATCCCTTTCCCCCTTATTCTAGTATTTTATATTTTAACTAACAGAATTTTAATATTTTAATGATAAATTTACAAAAAGGATCATATTCCATTGACGGCACAGGACAAGGTAGCCTAGTATAAGATAAAGAGAGCATTAACTTCTAAACGTCTCACTTAGAGAATATTTCAAATTTTTATTAGTACCGAAGTCGACTCATAAATTCGGCGAGTTTTATGTAGCGGCGCTTAAAATTTTTAATAATTTCCGCGTAAGCTACTATGGCCGTGCGCTGCGCGATGTACGGACAGTCCGAATTATTTATAATATTATTAATGTTGCTACTGTCATCGGTACTTTATTTTTTTATATTCAAATAAAAGATCAAAATAAACGAATGATATTTTAGTTTACATCTGCAACCTGACTTCAGGCTGCAGCTGAAAATCAGTGCTTTGCTTTTAAGCAAAACTATCGCTGAGCTTAAGCCTATTTGGGTCACTGAGACACACATGGCGAAAACATATTTTCGTATTTTATCTTTTGTTTTATATTTAAAAAAAAGATGTAAATAATCTGATTGTATAAACTCATTTTTAATTTACGTGTGTCATAAATGGCTCAAATAAAGTGTTTATCTATCTATATTTTATATGTATATGAATGCACGATACTTACAGACAATCTAATATATAAAATTCTCGTGTCACGGTGTTTGTTAGCAAACTCCTCCGAAACGGCTTAACCGATTTTTATGAAATTTTGTGTGCGTATTGGGTAGGTCTGAGAATCGGCCAACATCTATTTTTTATATCCCTCAATGATAAGGGTGACCTACCCCTAATTTTTTTAACAATTTATTTTATTTTTATTTTATTATGATTTAGCATTGAAAAATACATACAAATTCAAATTTTCATGCTTTTACGATCAACCCCTATTTTTTAATCGCGATTTTTATATGTCGTAATAGGGTTGCAAGACGACAATCGAATATTGTAATTGTAGTATGATAAATTATCATGTATAGTTCTAAAAATAATGTATATGGTAAAACAACGTTTGCCGAGTCAGCTAGTTTAAAATAAATATCAATATCTCAGCATAAGCATAATATTACAAATTATAATAATTTACAAATATCATGTCTTAGGCCGGTTCATTATTAGTTTGTAATGTGAAATTGAAAGAGCTAATTCAGCTTCAGAGTTCTTGCAGAAAAAGTAATGATTTTTAATAAGAACCTCATCGCCTTACCAAATTCACAAGGAATCAAAAATAACGTATTTAGGTACCATGACATAACATATATAAAACAATGAAACTATTGAAAAATAACAATGAATAACAGAATTTTGTATTTATTTATACTTTATTGTACAAACTTATAATACATTAAAATATGACAGAGGTAATCAAATGTACAAAGGCGAGCGTAACTCTAAAAGAGTTCTCTTCCAGCAACACCCAAAGTGGAAAGGAGCATCAATGTCAGCGGGTAGAGCGGTAGAAATATAAAGTTTTAGTAACAGTACAAAAATTCATAAGTGACATTTTATTTATGTCTATAAGTAAACGAATTTTTATAATAATAGAATTCCCTGAGGATAGAACACATCACCTTGTATTAAATTACATTCATAAGTAGTTGAGAGCCAAGTGGAACAAAAGCACGACTGTTTGTTGCTAGTGCACAAGTACGGGATAATTAGGCAACTTCACCCACTCTTCAGCTTAAGGCAAATACTGAAACTCTTAAACTAAAGCCCTCGACCTTTAGCTAGATCGTGTCTAGCACACGAATCTAGTGTATTTATGGTATTGCTTACGAACGAATGAATCTCATGCTTGGTTAGATTGCCTACAGTATCCTGATTGATTAGCTGAATCCGTTGAAGGTACTAAGTGTTTTCTGCTGGTGGTACGGTGACTGCGAAAGCGAGCTCAGACCACCGGCGCTAATGGCGCCAAGAGGAATACAAATAAAACTACGTATGTTGATGACTATTTGCATTAGGATCCTTGGTGTCGACATCTCTAGTGACGTACAGTTCCGTGGCCATCTCGAAGATAAGGTGAAGCTGGCATCCAAAAAACTCGGTGACCTGATGGTAAGTGATTACCGCCGCCCATGATCACCCACAACACCAGCGGCATTGCAGGCGCGCTAGTATTCCCAGTAGTACCAATAGAATAAAAAAAAACATGTTGTCCAATGTAGTCCCGCGCTGCATGGCGGCCCTACCAGTAGCTTGCATTTACATAACATTATCATAACAATTCTTTCGTTATTGTACTCCCTTTGTTGAGAGATGAAACAAAGCATTGCTTTTGTAACAAACGGAATGATAAATAAATTGTTATACTATTAAAAGCTTTTGTGATTTATATCACAGGATCGTGTGGGAGAGATATACATAATGTCGTGTCATTCACGTATCATTGGATGTTAAAGGTCATTCAATATTTTGTATTAAAAAAAATATAATAACAGACAAAACATTATATGTAGAATAATATTTTTTTATTCAAATAAACTTAATTTTTTTTTATACAACTTAGAATGGCAAACAAGCTGACGGCCCACCTGGTGGAAAGTGGTAACCGTCGCCTATAGACACGAGCAGTATTATGGACATAACAGAGTATACTGTTTCGCCCATGATACCCCCCATGCGTTGCCATTCCTAAGGACTCAGGTGTTATTCCTCTGTACCCAGTAAATTCACGCCATATCCCACCCTTCAAATCGAAACACAGCCATGCAAACACAACTGCTTCACGGTTGAAACACGAATGGAACAGAGGTACCCAAGCAATCGACTTTCGTACAAAGTCAATCATTTTTGAAAAATAATTTTTGTTTATAATTTTGCCGCCCATTCGGAATGCAATTTCAGCTGAGAAGAATGGACTCAGCTGTTGTTTTTTCAACAAACATTTATTTCAAAATTATAATTATTGTATCAATACAGAAAATAACATGAAAATTAATAGTAT